CAACTGGTGATAGACATTCTCTTAACTTTTGACAATGTTTAGTATAACTGTCAGTAACTAATTCATATTGATGATTTTTGTGATTATGAACTAAGCAGTGAGAACAGATTACTGTATCACATGTTTCACAGAATAGCTCCAAAGGCTTTCCATGATCACTACATGTGGCCTCTTGAGGATTAGGCAAAGCAGCTGTCTTGTTTAGCGAACTTTGCATCTCTTTGAGGTTGTTGAGGTGGAATGCTACAGGAAAGGCTCCTGCTCCTTCTTCTGGTAACTCTGTACAATGACGACAAGTGGGACAAGAGAGGTAATAGGCCTCATTCTTCCTATCCAGAGGTAATCCCTCCAGACAGTTCTGACAAAATGAGTGATGGCAGGGTAGGATCTTAGGGTTGGTATAGTGTTCAAGACACACAGGACAGGTGAGCTGTTCCTCCAGTTTGAGGAGACCAGGAGAAGAAGATGAAGATGGTTTGGTTGCCATTTAATTGTGTATGCAAAGCAAAGACAAAAATGAAGAGAGATAAAGGTAGAAGGCGGTAAATGAAGATAGAGCAAGAACAAGCAATAAGAAAATGAAGAAGTCAGGATGAATGAGATGCAGCAAAAAAAAAACAAAATGAAGAAGGTTGAAGGAGGAGAGAAAGACTAAAGAAGGTCAGCTAGACACAAAAAGTGGGCGTACCTTAAATATATTCAAAGATCTTGTGACTAAAGGATGCATAATGAATCCTGGCTTTTACACAGATTAAATTATTAGCATTTGTTTACTATAGTACATGCATAATAAAAGTGTGTCTTGCTACAATATTATGTGCATCCATTCTAAATAAATACTTACAGTCCATTTATTTATGGCTGTTTGCCAATGAATATCATTAATGATCTGTCATGCTGTGGCATAAATCTATACAGGGCTGAATGGGTCAATAGTGATTTCTCCAATTTTCCTTTAAAATGCTAACACTGACTCACACAGAAATGCTCATTGCATAATTCTATACTGATTATACTGTAATTTGTTCTTTGCTTTTTTCAGTTCTCTTAGAGAATACATAGCAATTAATGGTAAATTTTTCCCATGCATTCACCACTGTACATCTATCCCACAGCATGATGGCTTGGTTATTGATTGCTACATGTGCAGTGGTGGGAAAGTTTTAGTGTAATTAAAGCTAAATAATGATCATTAACAATAATAAAAGAAATAAACCTAATAAACAACAACTCGGTTATTGCTATAATCACAAACATACAATAATCCATCTTTATCAAATGCTAATCCTGTTGGTTTATTAAACTGATTAATATTACTGCCTTTACTTCCAAAACTGCTCACGAACACACCATCACTAGTGAAGACTGATATACGATGATTGCCCTCTTCACTAACATAAACTAGACCAGTAGCTGCAGTGTCTATTGTTATGCCAAAGGGATGCTTAAGCTGTCCAGGACCAGATCCTTTAGTACCAAATTGAACCACAAGCTTTCCATCTGGAGAGAACTTTTGAATGCGATGATTACTATAATCAGTAATGTATACTAATCCTTGACTGTCAATAGCAATGTCACGAGGATAATCAAACCTTAAACTAGCTGGTACTTTACTAGCAAATAAATGGGAGAAGGTTAAATCAGGATTCAAGACTTGTATACGATGATAATTACTGTCAGCAATATAAATATGTCCTGTTAAAGGAGAAATGGCTATACCACGAGGAGTACTAAATTGCTGTTGCATAAGGCTAGTCTTACCAACTGATGCCATACAACATCCATCCATGCTTATTTCCTGAATATTGTGATTACCAGACACAAGAATGGATTTGTCAGGAGTAATGGCTACACCACGAGGAGCAATAAACTTGACATTGCCACATCCTCCTTTCCCTCCTAATGATTTCACTTTCTTTCCTTCTCTATCCAGTATTGCTACACAATCACCACTACACTCAGTTATTATAACATGATTATCATCAGTTACAGCAACTCCCCAGGGATGTTTAAGCTCAGTTATAGTATGTACTGGAGTGATGTTATCAAGGTAAGGATTGAAAGGGATGGCTAGTGAGGTATCCTCAAGGTGTACATCATATACTTGTACTTTTACTGTATGAGCACCACTGGTTGAAGGGTTACACTGTATCCTATAAACTCCAGGATCAGTGCTAGTGGTAGTGACTGTAGTGTGAATGGGTTGATCACCTTTACCAACTGGTACTAGACTACACCTCAGAGAAGAGACAGGAACACACAAAAGAGATGAATCTGGTGCCTCCATTGATAGTGAAAATGAAACTGCTTCGCCAGAAGGTGAAATACAATCAATCTTCTTCACTCTACACTGCTGTAGTTCAGTAGAGGTCAATATATCTCCAATGTGATGTAGCAATTCGATATCTTTACTCAATACAAAGTCAGCTTTTTCCTTTGGATGTAACTCCTCCACATTGATCCATGCAGTAACTTCACTCATACGCTCCATCATCTGTTTCTTAGACCTCAGGACTTGTTGAGGACTGCCTGTCTTCAGACTCTGTTCTACATAATCCTCGACATCCTCCAGAAGACTCAAACTCATTTCTGCTGATTTCATTTGCTCTGACAGCACCTTTAGTTTATCATCAGTGACCCTCTTTGCCTGCTCAGTCAGTTTCCTCTCTGACTCACGAAGAACATTTATCATTTCCTCTACCATTTCATGTATTTCTTCTAAGACTCCTTCTCCTCTTTCTCTGATCTCACCCTCTCTCTTTGCTAGAGCAGACAGGACCTTCTTGAGTCCTTCAATTTTTCCTCTTACCGGATTAAGAGAACCTCTCAATTCTTGACAGTGTTTAGTATAACTGGAAGAGACTAAGTCATACTCATGGTCTTTATGAGCATGAACTGTACACTCATGACAAATAAATGTATTACATGTGTCACAGTAGTAATTCAATGGCTCATCATGACCAGGTACAGAGCAAGTGAGGGTTGCCTCCTGTTTAGCTGGAGCTAGCAATTGAGGAGTAGAAGAGACATCAGAGGCTGTCACCTCATCAAGACTTGTCAGCTGATGGTTAGAAGTTGGGCCCCATTTCTTGTGTACTCCGTCACATTCTGTACAAAGGAACTTACTGCAGTCTTTGCAGTATCCAGTGGCATTAGCTGTAGTACAGTTGTCACAGGTGACTTGTTGAGGATCAGCTACTTTCTTCATTAGACTGTATATCTCTTTGAGGTTGTTGAGAGTGAATGCTACAGGAAAGGCTCCTGCTCCTTCTTCTGGTAACTCTGTACAATGACGACAAGTGGGACAAGAGAGGTAATAGGTCTCATTCTTCTTATCCAGAGGTAATCCCTCCAGACAGTGCTCACAGAATGAATGTAGACAAGGTAAAGTCTTAGGGTTGGTATAGTGGTCAAGACACACAGGACAGGTGAGCTGTTCCTTCAGTTTGAGGAGACCAGGAGAAGATGAAGATGGTTTGGTTGCCATTTAAAAAAAAAGAATAAATTGTGCACGTAAAGCAAGAACAAAAATTGAAGAGAGATAAAGGTAGAAGACGGTAAATGAAGATAGAGCAAGAATGAATGACAAGAAAATGTTGGAATGAATGAGATTCAGGAATAACAAAATGAAGAAGGTGGAAAGGCTAAAGAAGGTCAGCTAGACTCAAAAAGTGGGCGATACCTTAAATATACAAAGATCTTGTGACTAAAGGAAGTTATGATAGTACATGATAAAAAGCCAATTGAGCTATAGTAGATATGATCAGGGGCATATCTAGAAATTTGGAAAGGGGGGTGCCGGGGTACAGAATGCAACGGAGAAGAAAAGTAGGAGGCGCGCCGCAATTTTGGCCATGCCCACTTTTTAGGGGTTAAAACGGCATTTTTCTTCATTTTTCCTCAATTACTGGTGGGGTCAAGATCATTTCTATGATTTCAAGCAACTGGTTTGCATACTGGTCCTTTTGATCACTCTTTGAAGGACTGGAAACTGCTGAAATCATAATCAGGGTGCTAGTTAACTTTAATAAGAGGCTTAGTAGTGATGCAAGAGTCCAGAACTTCAGTAATTTTTTCTGAGCCCAGCCATAAGGGGGGTGCTCAAGCCCCCTCAGCACCCCCCTGGATACGCCCCTGATATACTACATAATGAATCCTGGGAACCAAATACAAAATAAATTTTCATCACATTATTACTAACTGCATATTTTTAGTTAATTTACTACATGTACATGCATAATAAAAGTGCAACTTGCTACATTATAATGAGTAGGCATTCATATCCTAACTATTGGGACATTCAACATAAATACGTGTATATGCAAGTGTGGGTTTCCACAATACTGACAAGATAAACATGTACATAGAGAGAGAAGGGGGGGAGAGAGAGAGAGAGAGAGAGAGAGAGAGAGAGAGAGAGAGAGAGAGAGAGAGAAGAATGTATTATCATTATTTCTTTACTACCTTCCATTATCAAACATTAGTCCTCTCCTAAACCACTTCAAATCATTCATCAACCTCCTCGTCCTCTTGATAGGACCCTCCCTCTCCTTCTCACTCAAACTCCTCTTGACTCCTATGACCGAGTTACCATGGTAACCGCTTGCTTCAGGGGGTGGGGCTAAGGTGACAAATTTGAAAGTGGTTGCTATGGCTTCGTCAAGTGGGCGAGTAAGAAATATTTCAAAAATTTGTGAGAGAAGAGATTCTTTGTGGTCGTCTTTAAAACTTGATAAATGTTCCTCTAGTTGATAGACTGATCTTAATAGCTCAAACGAGGACACGCCCAACTCTGAGAGTTTGATGCCTTTGCTCGTTGTCATGGTAACATTCCCAGTTGCTATGGATACTGATTCTAAAATGAGATCCCTCCATTTTTGTAGAGTGAGAGAAGAAATGTCAATAGAGGAAGGAAAGGATTGAGGGATGGAGATAGAATTTATATCAATCTTGCCTAAAAAATAAGAAAAAAACATTTAAAATTAAATGTATGAATCTGAACAATTTATAATGTACGTGCATATTGTAGTTGCTCAAAAATCAGGCCAAAGTATTATAATACTTATCCTACTATGGCACTACAAGTACTAGTATAGTACTATAGTGCTGTAGTACTATATGTAGCATAGTACATAGTACTATAGTCCATGTACTATAGTATATGGGACTTTGGCCAAATATTTCCAAAATTAAAAAGTAGAGAATTCTCTACTTTTATAATTTTTCTGATACATATACATGTTCCTATGCTGTGTAGAAAGTTTGAGCTGATTCCGATGAAAATTGGATTTTTTTAAACGACCTCATCTTTGCATAGAAATAGTGTATAATGTCTATGTTCTTTACCATGAATATTAGCGGGTATTTCTTCTACTAGTAGTATCTGGTCTGGTATCTCATTATCACACAGACAGCCTCTCATTCCTTCAAATAACAGCCTCCGCGTCCGATCTACCGCCATAATGACTGTCGGCACAACCACGGCAACCACATCTGACATGCCCCGCCTCTCCACCACACAGCAGAGACGAACCAAATCCAGCGATGATATTACCTAATAAGGACATAAAGACACGCCCACTTTCACATCAGGCCACACCTACTAACCTGCTCTATATAATCTAAATTAATACGATGGCCATTCCTCTTTATCTGACGGTCACTCCGCCCACATAAATATATGCGTCCATGTTCGTCGGTCATACCATCATCTCCACTGTCACGAAAGGTACCCTGGACGAGGAACTCTTCATTGCCAAGGCAACACACCCTATAATCTCCGCCTACACAAAAAATTATTAATCTTCATTGTTTTACTTCACGTACTATACATGAGAAAGTATGTATATGTACATTATATATAGCATTTTAACATCAATGGAGGTATACTATACATGTACATGTACATGTACTTTATGTCATTGCCTCATGTAGTACATGTAAATGCACATGCATCTACATGTAATGTAAATCTACATGTACATTATATATAGCATTTTAAACATTAATGGAGGTATACTATACATGTACATGCACTTTATGTCATTGCCTGTAGTACATGTAAATGCACATGCATAATGCAAGCATAACAAAGTACATATGCATGTACATGTACATGCATATGTACATGTAAATCTGCATGCATTACATGTACATGTTTACCGATGAATACTCTCTTTAGTTCATTTCCTCTAAGTTCTATTTGAGTACCCAGTAGTGGTTCTCCGATGGGTACTCCAAGTGGGTGGGGTTTATTGTAGGCGGAGTCATGAATGTCTATTTCATGACAAGAGGCCCAACTGGATACTTCAGTGATACCGTAGATATTGAATAATCGGGTTTTGTTCTAAAATTTTAAAAAATAATCAACAAATAATTAATGGAACTAATGGGTTTTTGCTTGTCACAGATTTCATGACAATGGAACTAATGGGTTTTTGCTTATCACGGATTTCGTGACAATGGAACTAATGGGTTTTTGCTTGTCACGAATTCTGTGACAATGGAACAAATGGGTTTTTTGCTTGTCACAGATTTTGTGATAATGGAACTAATGGGTTTTTGCTTGTCACGGATTCTGTGACAATGGAACAGATGGGTTTTTTGCTTGTCACAGATTTTGTGATATGGAACTAATGGGTTTTTGCTTGTCACGGATTCTGTGACAATGGAACTAATGGGTTTTTTGCTTATCACGGATTTCGTGACAATGGAACTAATGGGTTTTTTGCTTGTCACAGATTTTGTGATATGGAACTAATGGGTTTTTGCTTGTCACGGATTCTGTGACAATGGAACTAATGGGTTTTTGCTTATCACGGATTTCGTGACAATGGAACTAATGGGTTTTTGCTTATCACGGATTCTGTGACAATGGAACTAATGGGTTTTTGCTTATCACGGATTTCGTGACAATGGAACTAATGGGTTTTTGCTTGTCACGAATTCTGTGACAATGGAACAAATGGGTTTTTTGCTTGTCACAGATTTTGTGATAATGGAACTAATGGGTTTTTGCTTGTCACGGATTCTGTGACAATGGAACAGATGGGTTTTTTGCTTGTCACAGATTTTGTGATATGGAACTAATGGGTTTTTGCTTGTCACGGATTCTGTGACAATGGAACAGATGGGTTTTTTGCTTGTCACAGATTTTGTGATATGGAACTAATGGGTTTTTGCTTGTCACGGATTCTGTGACAATGGAGCTAATGGGTTTTTGCTTATCACGGATTTCGTGACAATGGAACTAATGGGTTTTTGCTTGTCACGGATTCTGTGACAATGGACCAAATACATGTATATTACATGTACATGTATATCTCTACCTCGTTGCTTTTCCATTCTCTTAATGTCTTCACTGATGGACAAGCCTCTCCTCCAAAAGCTAGTACCCGGAGACTTGACCACGCCCCCAATAACTCCTCCCTCAGTACGTCCGAGGGTAATCGACGGATTAGAGTAGGCGTGGCTTGAAGTAGAGTTACATGACGTGATCGTAGGACAACATGAGAGAAGAGAAGGGGAGAGGATTTGATGACTGGAGGAACCAGGAGAAGTGTAGCACCGGAATACAGTGATAGGAATATCTGGAAAATATAGAACTAGTTAATAATGGTGAATCATGTACTACATAAACTTATTATGGTGGAGAATTTGGGTGCATTGATATTGGTACTTCTATGATATTATGAAGTCTTTTACATAATTATTGATTGGTGTTTTTAGTCATTATTTTAATTGTGGAGAATGCTCTAAATAAAGTGAAATAGTGGAATCTATATTGGTGATGATTTAAGCATAAAATTGCTAATCATCGAAATGAATCTTGGGCAATGTACAGAATACATAATAATACTCTCTTTCCATTCTCTCTCTCTCTTACCTCTACTACTGAAGGGTCAAAGGTCAGTGGTGATGCATTAAAGACTCTATCATTCTCCCTCACATCAAACCTCTCGCACAAATCAATGACATTGGGCACTATACAGCAGTGAGGAACCCACACTCCTTTAGGAGAACCTGTTGTACCGGTTGTGTGTACCAGATAAGCAAGTCCTGTCACTATGGGATATGATTCTGGACCACACCCATCATTATTAATTGAATTTTTAGGAGGCGTGAGGTTGAGATGTGAGATTTGATTTGATTTCGTAAGAGATGGGATGGATTCAGTACAGTTCCGACAGATTTTGGTACCGGTACATGTGGTATGGGAACGAGTCTCTTCTTGGTATGAGAACCAGTCTCCTACTGGTGAGAAAAAGACCACAAAGTCGTATTCTATTAATAGGGTTGATGGCTTCCAGTTATTAGCGATCAGCCATGACTCGTGTTCATTGATGAATTCCTACAAAAAGACACAATAAAATGTATTTAGAACAGACTACAATATATATATACTTACATGTACTATTAACAGTAGCTACAATAAGCTATAGAAATGCATTATTACAATTGTCAAGAAGTGTGAGTGTAGACTGTACAGTGTATATACACTTTAAAACATTATAACATACAGGTAGCATACACATGTAAATACCATGCAGGTATAAGTAGACAGCATTCATAATTAAAAGAAAAGAAAGAATATATTTAAGTATACAAAGGAAAAGAATACTAGGTAACCTATGAATAAGCATACATTGTATAAAGTACTAGAGTCATTTAACCACTTGTCATAGCTATGTCTCCATGAATACGTTTAAAACAGATAAACACTTCCTATGGGGTGGTGTTCATGGAATTTGTAAACTTTGACACTATAAAGACTTCATAGGGAGTGTTCATCCATTAATTTACTAGTGCAGAACTTGTGGCTAAAATTACTGGAAGGAAGTGCCAAGTCAGTCTGTGTTCATGCGAAGTAGTGATATATAGAGTGATCGTGTTACTAGTGTTACTCCATTGTGATCATATTGACTATTAAACTGTCAAAAATTCCTTTAGTGGTGATACTATAGAATATCACAAGAAGTCATCAGAGCCATCTTTCTCTCTCAGTCACTCTTTTTTATTTCTCTACTACTCTCCTTTGTTTTCATTCTGTTATCAATTGTTCTTCAGTGCTCAATTTTATTCTTTTCTTGAAATGGCAACCAAACCATCTTCATCTTCTTCTCCTGGTCTCCTCAAACTGGAGGAACAGCTCACCTGTCCTGTGTGTTTTGACCACTATAACAACCCTAAAATCCTACCCTGCCATCACTCATTCTGTGAGCACTGTCTAGAGGGATTAGCTCTGGATGAGAAGAATGAGACCTATTACCTCTCTTGTCCCACTTGTCGTTATTGTACAGAGTTACCAGAAGAAGGAGCAGGAGCCTTTCCTGTAGCATTCCACCTCAACAACCTCAAAGAGATGTACAGTCTAATGAAGAAGACAGCAGACTTATCACATCCTCAAGAGGCCACATGTAGTGATCATGAAAAGCCTTTGGAGCTATTCTGTGAAACATGTGATACAGTAATCTGTGTTACCTGCTTAGCTCATAATCACAAACATCACGAATACGACTTAGTCACTGACTATTATACTAAACACAGTCAAAAGCTAAGAAAATGTCTATCACCAGTTGAGGGAAAGAAGGAAGCACTCAAGAAGGTCCTGTCTGCTCTAGCAGAGAGAGAGGGTGAGATCAGAGAGAGAGGAGAAGAAATTTTAGAAGATATCAATAAAATGGTAGAGGAAATGATGAATGTCCTTCGTCAGTCAGAGAGGAAACTGACTGAGCAGGCAAAGAGAGTCACTGATGATAAACTAAAGGTGCTATCAGAGCAAATGAAATCAGCAGAAATGAATTTGAGTCTTCTGGAGGATGTTGAGGATTATGTGGAACAGAGTCTGAAGACAGGCAGTCCTCAACAAGTCCTGAGGTCTATGAAACAGATGATGGAGCGTATGAGTGAAGTTACTGCAGGGATCAATGTGGAGGAGTTATATCCAAAAGAAAAAGCTGACTTTGTATTGAGTAAAGATATCAAATCACTAAATCACATTGGAGATATTGTGACCTACTCATCTACTGCACTACAGCAGTGTAGAGTGAAGAAAGTTGGTTACTTTGAACGTCTACCAAAAGAGAAAAAAGTTTCATTTTCACTATCAATGGAGGCACCAGATTCATCTCTTTTGTGTGTTCCCTTCTCTTCTCTGAGGTGTAGTCTAGTACCAGTTGGTAAAGGTAAACCCATTCACACTACAGTCACTACCACCAGCACTGATCCTGGAGTGTATAGGATACAGTGTAACCCTTCAACCAACAGTGGTACTCATACAGTAAAAGTACAAGTATATGATGTACAACTTAAGAATACTTCATTATTCATCCACAAGCCTATCAATCCTTACCTTGATAACATCACTCCAGTACGTACTATAACTGAGCTTAAAGGTCCCTGTGGAACTGTTATAAGTGATGATAAACGTATTATAATAACTGAATATTTGGAAAGCCGTGTAACAATACTGGATAAAGAAGGAAAGAAAGTGAAATCATTAAAAGGCCAAGTACGTGTAGGAGAAAGAGATATTTTCAAGTTTGCTTTTCCTTCTTGGGTAGCCATTACTCCAGACAAATTCATTCTTGTATCTGATGATCACAGTATCCAGAAGATAAGCATGGATGGATACCTTATAGCATCAGTTGGTGAGGAGGGCAGTGGACCACTACAATTAAATGCTCCTTCTGGTATAGCCATTTCTCCTGTAACAGGACAGGTTTATATTGCTGATAGGGATAATCATCGTATACAAGTCTTGAATCCTGATCTAACCTTCTCTCATTCATTTGGTAGTAAAGGATCAGCTAATGGACAGTTTCAGTCTCCACATGACATTGCTATTGACAGTCAAGGATTAGTGTATGTTACTGATAGTTGGAATCATCGAATTCAGAAGCTCTCTCAAAATGGAAGGTTTGTCGGTCAGTTTGGCAATAAAAGATCTGGACAGCTTCGTTTTCCATATGGTATAACAATAGACACTGGAGCTACTGGTCTAGTATATGTTAGTGAAGGGGGCAATAATCGTATATCAGTCTTCACTAGTGATGGTGTGTTTGTTAGCAGTTTTGGAAGTAAAGGCAGTAATATTGATCAGTTTAATGGTCCTATTGGATTAGCTTTTGATAAAGATGGATTCTTGTATGTTTGTGATTATATTAATAACCGAGTTGTTGTTTATTAATTTAAATGCTTACTACATGTAGTCAGTACAACATTGTATCTTTGTTTATTATCATTATTATAGCTATAGCAACTATTAATCTTAGTTTAATATGAAGTAATGTTATCAATAATGCCATTAAGCATAAGTAAACATATCATTGTTGATGCATGGACTAATCAGTTTATGTTTACAGTTTCTTATTCTACTGAAACAACTACCATGACTACTGCATTGACTACTCCATTGACTACTGTGTCAACTACTGTATTAGGGAAATACTGCAGTATATATAGTATGTATATACATGTATATTGGATTATGCACGTATACTTATAATCTGAGTGGTGTGATGCTAAGCAGCTGTGCCCTCTAGATTTCTATAAATAGATATTATAACTTCCTTTACTACAAGAATACAAGAGCCAGGGCTATCTACCTCCAACTTCTCCACACTCTCTTTGTTTTAATTTCATTCATTCTCATTGCTCTATCTTCATTTATACCGTCTTCTACCTTTTTCTCTCTTCATTTTTGTTCCGCTTGCTTTGCATACATAATTGAATGGCAGCCAAACCATTTTCATCTTCTCGTGGTCTCCTCAAACTGAAGGAAGAGCTCACCTGTCCTGTGTGTCTTGAGCACTATACCAACCCTAAGATCCTACCCTGCCATCACTCATTCTGTCAGCACTGTCTGGAGAGATTACCTCTAGATAAGAAGAATGAGACCTATTACCTCTCTTGTCCCACTTGTCGTCGATCTACAGAGTTACCAGAAGGAGTAGGAGCCTTTCCTGTAGCATTCCACCTCAACAACCTCAAGAAGATGCACAGTCTAATGATGCACAGTTTAATGAAGAAGACAGCAGCAGTTTCGCCTAATCCTCAAGAGGCCACATGTCGTGATCATGGAAGGCCTTTGGAGCTAATCTGTGAAACATGTGATACAGTAATCTGCATTAGCTGCTCATATCGTGATCATAAACATCATGAATGTGGGCTAGTCACTGACAGATATACTAAACACAGAGAAGCACTGGAGAAATCTCTTAATCCGGTAAAAGGGAAAATTGAAGCACTCATAAAGGTCCTGTCTGCTCTAGCAGAGAGAGAGGGTGAGATCAGAGAGAGGGGGGAAGAAATCTTAGAAGATATTCATAAAATGGTAGAGGAAATGATTGCTGTTCTTCGTCAGTCAGAGAGGAAACTGACTGAGCAGGCAAAGAGGGTCACTGATGCTAAACTAAAGGTGCTGTCAGAGCAAATGAAATCTGCAGAAATGAGTTTGAGTCTTCTGGAGGATCTTGAGGATTATGTGGAACAGAGTCTGAAGACAGGCAGTCCTCAACAAGTCCTGAGGTCTAAGAAACAGATGATGGAGCATATGAGTGAAGTTACTGCAGGGATCAATGTGGAGGAGTTACACCCAAAGGAAAAAGCTGACTTTGTATTGACTAAAGATATGAAATCGCTACATCACATTGGAGATATTGTGACTTACTCATCTACTGCACTACAGCAGTGTAGAGTGAAGAAGATTGATCATATTATACCTGCTGGCAAAGTCGTTTCATTTTCACTATCAATAGAGGCACCAGATTCATCTGTTTTGTGTGTTCCTCTCTCTTCTCTGAGGTGTAGTCTAGTACCAGTTGGTAAAGGTAAACCCATTCACACTACAGTCACTACCACTAGCACTGATCCTGGAGTGTATAGGATACAGTGTAACCCTTCAACCAACAGTGGTACTCATACAGTAAAAGTACAAGTATATGATGTACACCTTGAGGATACCTCACTAGTCACCCACAAGGCATTCAATCCTTACCTTAATAAAATCACTCCAGTACGTACAATAACTGGGCTTAGTTGTCCCTGGGGAGTTGCTGTAAGTGATGATAATCATATTATAGTAACTGAATATTTGGAGAGTCGTGTAACAATACTGGACAAAGAAGGGAAAAAAGTGAAATCATTAGGAGGTCAAGTACGTGTAGGAGAAAGGGATATTATCAAGTTTGCTTTTCCTACTTGGATAGCTATTACTCCAGACAAATTCATTCTTGTATCTGATAAAACTAACAGTATTCAGAAGATAAGCATGGATGGATACCTTATAGCATCAGTTGGTAAGGTGGGCAGTGGACCACTACAATTTAAGTGTCTTCCTGCCATATCCATTTCTCCTATAACAGGACAGGTTTATATTGCTGATAAGAATAATCATCGTATACAAGTCTTGAATCCTGATCTAACCTTCTCTCATTCATTTGGTAGTAAAGGATCAGCTAATGGAGAGTTTCAGTATCCAACTGACATTGCTATTGACAGTCAAGGATTAGTGTATGTTACTGATAATGGTAATCATCGCATTCAGAAGTTCTCTCCAGGTGGAAAGTTTGTGGGTCAATTTGGTACTGAAGGATATGGTCCTGGACAGCTTAAGTATCCAGTTGGTATAACAATAGACACTGCAGCTACTGGTCTAGTGTATGTTAGTGACTATAATAATCACATCTCTATCTTTACTACTAAGGGTTCATTTGCTAGTAGGTTTGGAAGTACAGGCAGTAATATTGATCAGTTTCAAGGCCCTCGTGGATTAGCTTTTGATAAAGATGGATTCTTGTATATTTGTGATTCTGATAATAACCGAGTTGTCGTTTATTAGGTTTTTATAATTATGTTAATGATCATTATTAGTTTTAATTATACAGATATGGCAATTGTTACAAACAATTGATGTATTTTACATAGTCAGTCCTATTGTTGCAAGTAATTAATTAAAATTGTAAAATGTATTTTTAAATCTATTGGCAGACTTGTAATAATACTGCTGAATTGTTTGTTATATACAATACTAGAGTGATATCATAAGTAAAGTGAATATGCATAATGTGACAGTGAGTGCATGTACATACATGTATACTTATAATCTGAGTGGTGTGATTTGAACAGCTGTGCCCTCTAGTCTAGATTTCTATCAAATAGTTATCATAACTTCCTTTACCAAAAGTAACCACATGTACAGGCCTTGTTTTAATTTTATTCATTCTCATTGCTCTATCTTCATTTACCGCCTTCTACCTTTTCTCTCTTCATTTTTTTGTTCTTGCCTTAGATACAAAATTAAATGGCAGCCAAACCATCTTCATCTTCTTCTCCTGGTCTCCTCAAACTGGAGGAACAGCTCACCTGTCCTGTGTGTCTTGACCACTATACCAACCCTAAGACTTTACCTTGTCTACATTCATTCTGTGAGCACTGTCTGGAAGGATTACCTCTGGATAAGAAAAATAAGACCTATTACCTCTCTTGTCCCACTTGTCGTCATTATACAGAGTTACCAGAAGAAGGAGCAGGAGCCTTTCCTGTAGCATTCCACCTCAACAACCTCAAAGAGATGCACAGTCTAATGAAGAAGACAGCAGCAGTTTCGCCGAATCCTCAAGAGGCCACATGTAGTGATCATGAAAAGCCTTTGGAGCTATTCTGTGAAACATGTGATACAGTAATCTGTGTTACCTGCTCAGTTCGTAAACACAAAGGTCATGAATATGACTTAATCACTGACAGTTATACTAAAAACTGTAAAAAGCTAAGAGAATGTCTATCACCAGTTGAGGGAAAGAAGAAAGCACTCAAGAAGGTCCTGTCTGCTCTAGCAGAGAGAGAAGGTGAGATCAGAGAGAGAGGAGAAGGAGTCTTAGAAGAAATACATGAAATGGTAGAGGAAATGATTGCTGTTCTTTGTCAGTCAGAGAGGAAACTGACTGAGCAGGCAAAGAGGGTCACTGATCATAAACTAAAGGTGCTGTCAGAGCAAATGAAATCAGCAAAAATGAGTTTGAGTGTTCTGGAGGATGTTGAGGATTATGTGAAACAGAGTCTGAAGACAGGCAGTCCTCAACAAGTCCTGAGGTCTAAGAAACAGATGATGGAGCTTATGAGTGAAGTTACTGCAGAGATCAATGTGGAGGAGTTACATCCAAAGGAAAAGGCTGACTTTGTATTGAGTAAAGATATCAAATCGCTACATCACATTGGAGATATTGTGACCTACTCATCTACTGCACTACAGCAGTGTATAGTGAAGAAAGTTGGTTGCTTTGACTATCTACCAAAAGAAAAGAAAGTTTCATTTTTACTATCAATGGAGGCACCAGATTCATCTCTTTTGTCTGTTCCCTTCTCTTCTCTGAGGTGCAGTCTTGTACCAGTTGGTAAAGGTGATCAACCCATTCAAACTATAGTCACTACCACCAGCACTGATCCTGGAGTGTATAGGATACAGTGTAACCCTTCAACCAGTGGTACTCATACAGTAAAAGTACAAGTATATGATGTAAACCTTGAGGATACCTCACTAGTCATCCACAAGCCTATCAATCCTTACCTTGATAACATCACTCCAGTACGTACTATAACTGAGCTTAAGAGTCCCTGGGGAGTTGCTGTAACTGATGATAATCATGTTATAATAACTGAATATTTAGAGAGCCGTATAACCGTACTGGATAAAGAAGGGAAGAAAGTGAAATCATTTGAAGGCCAACTACATGTAGGAGAAAGGGATATTTTCAAGTTTGCTTTTCCTTCTTGGGTAGCCATTACTCCAGACAAATGCATTCTTGTGTCTGATGATAATCACAGTATCCAGAAGATAAGCATGGATGGATACCTTATAGCATCAGTTGGTAAGGATGGCAGTAGACCACTACAATTTAAAAGTCCTCCTGCTGTATCCATTTCTCCTATAACAGGACAGGCTTATATTGCTGATAGGAAAAATAATCGTATACAAGTCTTGAATCCTGATCTAACCTTCTCTCATTCATTTGGTTGCTGTGGATCAGCTAATGGACATTTTAAATATCCAAATGACATTGCTATTGACAGTCAAGGATTAGTGTATGTTACTGATTTTGAAAATCATCGCATTCAGAAGTTTTCTCCAGATGGAAAGTTTGTGGGTAAATTTGGTACTAAAGGATCTGGTCCTGGACAGCTTAGTTTTCCAACATGCATAGCAATAGACACTGCAGCTACTGGTCTAGTGTATGTTAGTGACTGGGCTAATAATCATATCTCTATCTTCACTAGTGATGGTGTGTTTGTTAGTAAGTTTGGAAGTGCAGGCAGTAATATTGATCAGTTTAATGGCCCTCGTGGATTAGCTTTTGATAAAGATGGATTCTTGTATATTTGTGATTCTGATAATAACAGAGTTGTTGTTTATTAATTTATAATAATGACTTGCCACTTTTAATTTTGTTGGTTGATTTAAAATAATTACAATTATCATTATAATGTGCAGTCACAAGCAAAAATATCAGAAATCATTAAAGGGTGTGGCTGGAAATGTAAAGCTAAATTTATGAAAATAACAATGATTTAATAACAGTATTATGAAAATAATACTCGCTACATAAATTGATATATGGTATAGCTGGCATATATAAGTTTGGAGGGGTAAAATTTTGGTAGATTGGAGGATTTGAATTCGGCAAATTTGAGGCCACGTACCATTGAGAATGTGCATTACTTTAAATTACCTGTATTAAATGTATTTGAACAAGAACAACGCCCACTCTCCCTTCCTGTAATTGTGACCACACCCTCTTAGGAGGTCCGGATCTAATCGGACAATATCCAGCAGGAAGAGACAAAATACTAATAATAATAATAATGATAATAATAATAATAATAAAATAAATATTAAATTACCTCAAAATGGCCGCCAAAGTACTCGGAGTATTATATGCATACAGCCCAATAACAAATGGCCTTAGCCCCTATATTATTATTATTATTAATTCATATAATCAACACCCACGCATTTAATTAATTTTACCTCCAATGCAGTTGGTACTAGAAGAGTTCTAAGAATACAGGAGAGACTAATGGTCCTCTCTGTGAGCTGAGAGTACGTCCAGAGGAGAGGGAGAGGAGAGAGATCGTCCCAAACGCAAGCAACAGAAAAGGGAAAAAGAGAAGCTCTTTCCCGCCATATTCCCGGCAAACTCATTAATTAAAAAGGCGTGGCCCAATCTGATGGGCGCGGTCTTGTTTATTATAGGGCGGGGTCAAGAAAAGAAAAATCGAGGGGCTGTGAACATCGAGTTTGAGCTATCTCTTCTCCATTTCAAAATGGCTCTAGAAGGTAGTGACAGTCTCAGAAACGTCCTAAATTTTATACTCCATTTTGTAGGTTGCCTTATCGACTTTGGAGATGATCCCTCCTCCTCATCTTCTCTTAGCAAAAGCACCAGTGAGACCACCTCTATGAAGTTCGAGGACAACTTTTGGGTGAGGATCAGTCCTTGGGATTATATGATATATTTTTACTGGTTTTTTCCAGGGCCCAGATTGTCGCGGATTTGAAGTATTGATGGGCAATTTGAGGGCGGAGTCATCTGCTTCTCACCATTTAGCAGAATACGTGAAGGAGAGGTGAGAGAGAGGGAGGGAGAGAGAGAGCTTTTGTGATGCTCATTATGAAAGCGTCAAATATTAAATAACACTATTTGTTATTGAAATTGAAGACGTTATACATGTATATGTACATATGCTTTGATGCAGTATTTGCAATAGAACATTTAATGTACATTTATTGGTAATACGTTATATTAATCGATACATGTACATGTACATGTTTGTGAAGTGTTTCCTTATTTTGTTTTTAGATTATCATTAGAAAGAGTTTATCTCAAAGGATTACAAAAATTAACAAAATCACTAGGTCAACCTAACGACA